GTGGTGTTGGGTTGACGGTTGGACTGATGATCTTCGAGGTCTTTTCCAACCTTAATGATTCCTAGTTTTACTCGTTAAAAAATAATCCAGCCACCAAGCCAGGAAACACGAAATTATTACTCTACCCTTAACTGGTTTGGTGGTGGACTTGGTATTGTCAGGTGAATGGTTGGACTTGACTTAAAGGTCTTTTCCAACCTAAACGATTCCATGATTTTCTCTGGATTATTAGTATTTTAAAGGCATACATTACCGTGTCACAAATAACTATTCTTTCAGTACAAAACCAAAGGTAAGCTAAATTTTGCCCTTACCACTCAGAATCGAAGTTAATTTTCTGTGATCTGAATCAATGTATCCACTAGGTGGTGGTGTGGTCAACATAAATTTGTGAAGTAGCACTACAGGTGACTAACTCAAAAGTAAAAACATAAAAACAATTTGCCCCTGAACTGTATTGTGACTGTTGCATATTTCCCTTTATGGATGGAGGCTTTTGCCTCATGCTTAAATACACAAAAGTTAAGAGGGGAAAAAAAAAAAATGTTTCACACCTCAGTTCCAATTAAGGTAGGACGGATATACAGGCTGGCAGCAGTTGAGTATGGGACCCACTCCTTCTCCACTTCCACAAGCTTCCGGATGCACTCTAACAGCTCATTCTGGTCAAAACACTGGGAAGGAAAAGCAAAGGGAGAAAAGCAAATGGAGAAATATAGCCTGGAACACTCTGTGGTCTTTACAGATCCATATGCTAAGGGGAAAACTTGATATGTAACAGTGACAGTCCATAGAGGTTCATAGGACTACATCATCTTCCTTGAGTTCATTTCTTACAGAATTTAAGATCCCATGGGCTTTGCCACTGTGCCTTTTTATACAGTATCCCGAATGCCTTCCTTCTGCTACAAAGTATCATCCTGAGATAGCAAAAAGGAGCCATTGACCCTTCTTGCCTCCAAAGCACAGAGAGAGAACTCCCTGTGCAGCCAACACCTTCACTTTGGCATGCTGCAAGCTATGGCACCATCTCTTCTGCAGAAGAGTGCTTCGGGTTATAACTCCAACAGGCCCACCAAGTCTCCCAGTTTTACAAAGTTGCAAAGTTCTTACAGTAATAAAGTTAACAAGCATGGGAAGAAATTCATTGACCGATATACAACTGCTAAAAGCAGTGGTAAGTTGCTAGCATGACCAAAAATGAAGGCACTCGGAGGCTGAAGGACTTAACTGAAGTGGAAAGAAGAAAAGGAAGAACATTAATGCCAAAACAATGTCATCAGCTGTCTGCATGCAAATAGCTGCAGAACAGTGCTCATCCCTCAGAAATAGACTGTGTACATCTGAGGCAGTAGGGAGACAACAAAGAAAGCAAAGCACTTTTGTGATTTAAAAGAAAAATGCTTTTCAAACAGTTCCCTTCACTGAATAAGGCCTCTTAACAAAATTTAACTGAACTATTCAAGAGTCAGAGTGTTTGATAAATGTTACGCTACTGTAAAGTTTCAGAGATTTGTACTCTGAAAAAGAAAATATGCTCTGACTTAAGGAGAGTAAGATGCCTTGGCTACATACTGGCAGAGTTGCTCGTCTTGCTGATCGCGCCATCCTGTCCATGTTGAGGGTTGGCCGGAACAGGCGGATTTTGCCATCCACTCCTCGGTAAGCCTTCATTCCTTCAAACAACTACCAAGCCAAAAAGGAGGGAAAAGAAATCAAATAATAATTGAGACATGTTATCCTATGATGATCTGTGCAAAAGCAGAACACACCCTTTGGAAATAAAAGAAGTTCACTTTCCTGCTCACAGTACTCAAAGCATAAATGCTAACTAGTTAATCCTTACAACACACTCCTGTGAGGTACTATTATGAAGTTTATATTACAAAGACAACCTGCCTAACCTTCAGATATATCTTTCTCTGTCAGGGGACTTAACCATTTTTTTCATAATTTGGTTACAGCAATTAAAATTTGTAGCATGTGTTTGCCTTAACTATTCCCTCACATCCTGACTGATAACTAAGGCTGAGCCAAAACAGTATTCTCCCTTGCAGAAAAGATCTATAGCATTTAATTATATACGTTAATCATTCTTAGGGCTCTGTCCAAAACATATTTTGGTAGAAAGCATAGAATAAGGTAATTAAGGGAACTCTGTTGCAGTTCTTGCTGTAGTTGTAGCAAAATCTTGGTCACTTATTTCCCCCATATACCCCTGTGCTGTGGAAGGGGATTTAGCTAGCATGAGAGACAGATGCATCAGCCTTACACTAGAGGAAGAATGCATGAAAATGTTTTATCTATACTTTACAGGAAACTTTAATTAGTCATAATTATCCCATCAAACTACAGAATCCGGATGACTGGTGTTGACAATCAATTTACCAGAAGCCCTTATCCCACCAGTGCTCTCCCAGCAGAATGCTCTACACCACCTCCTAACCATGGCAAAACAATATATGCCCACAAAATATCCATAGTTATTTTCAGCTACAGATTGATGATTTCCAATTATAGTCAGACAGAAAACACATGTATTATACAAGCTCACATGAGTATATATATAAATACAGGTATTATTTAGATTAAGTATTAAAGGATCACTTACGCTTATAGACGAGAGTTCAGGCTTTTAGAATTTATTTTGTAAAGCATTTCTTTGTACATTAAATTTCAGTATAAGTTCTATAAATTTATAAACTGCATCACTGCTGTCAGTCGCCTCAGAATTCTACTCCTGTTCCACAAACAGTGGCTGGAAATACATTCTATTTGGTTGGAAGTCTACATATGCAAGCTTTTTATTTGGAAAAAAGATTTCTGTATTTGTGTATAAGTAATTTTAGTAGAATACTCAAGGTTTCATTATTATTACATTCTATAATGTTTTCTCATAAGGATCAGTGGAATGCAATGTTTAGAAACCTTTTCTGCAGTCCCATGACAGAGCTAGGTCCTTCCACATGACAAATTTTAATTGGGTTGTAACTCAGTTGCAGGAATCCCAGCAATTTTCCTTAGGCTACATGCCAACTATGTAGCAGAACCAGAATTAGAACCCAGAACTTTTTGTCTTCAAAATTTATCTTATTCCTATGGCAATGCCAACCTTATTAAAAGCTTTGTATGCAGTTTTGAAAAAGAAACTGTTCCTAGGATAGACATTGTATCTACAAGAAAAAAATTCTATCTTTAATAAAGGATGGCATAGCTGGTGATATGGTTGATACTTTGATACGATTTCTACTGGGCCGGTTACTAACTGATACCACATTTCTGTAATGCTACTTTCTTATCACAGAACAGTTGTTTCCCCCCACCCTTCTCCCAAACACATTCACAGAACTTTTAATGAGAGGGAAGAGGAAGGAATGTTACTACCAAGATTTGATCAATGGTTTGAGAGAAGCAAGAATCACATCATTACTGAAACACAAAGCCTTCTCAAGCTGTTAAATCTTTTTCTCCAAAAAGAAATACTTTTAACCTTCCAGAGCTCAGTAAAACCTTTCACTCATTAAAAAGGGAGACAGTGATGTGTTCCAGAAATGCTCAACCTGAATAAAAGCAACTGCTGTGGTTGCTTGATGGTTGGTTGCTACAGTGGTGTGCAAACAATTATTATCTGACATCTGTACATCACAGGAACTGGATCTGGAGTTCAGCAGATCCAGACTATCACACTGCATCATGAAGGGCAAGGAGAAAGGGGAGGGAATGCCAAATTCATTGTTTTTATTATACCCACTGTGTATTCATTGAGCCACAGCATTGGCACCAGATTCTCCTCTGTCTGTCCTCTTGGCTAGAGGAAACGTGATGCAATAAGGGTAAAAGAATAAAAAAAAATGGGAAAAAAAAATAAGAGCATATTCATATTAGCAATGATTTCAGACTAGGCCAGAGGCCAAGCATTAAGGCAATATGCTACTAAGAGTGAAATACAGATTTGGGACTCCAGCGTGGTTTCTTACTTCTTGGGCAGATCAAGAGCTGCAGCCTTAGTCACAGGGGCCTGTTGTAATGTAAACAGGACCTTTGGAGGCTTGGTGACTAGATGGGGAAAAACCAGCAACAATAAAAAATGGTGAAGGCAGGAGCTCAGGGACAACTAGCAGGGAAAAGCTTGATCTTCCCTTATACTAGTGGTTAAAAAAAAAATAAATAAATAAAAAGAAAATAATAAAAGCAGCACAAGCAACTCCACTAACTTCAGTGGAGATACACCTACCCAGAAGTGGGAGGAGAAGCAGGCTTCCATTTCAGCATATGTGCCCTACTGAGGCTCTCACACAGATGTGAGTATAGCCAAAGCTGCTCTGGAGACACAAAAGGCAGCTTTAGACAGTAAGCAGCTAAGCACGGAAACTGTAACCACGCTGGTTTCCGACTTAACATTTCACTTTCCAAAGTTCCTTGTTTAAATACACTTGTATATTCTGAATGCATCAGATCTAGTTTGGAGCACTCCAGACTTGTTCGGAGTTGCAAACAAGCATGTCTAGTCTGTCCTGCAATCCAAGCTATGAACCTTTAAAACAGCTTAAAGTAACTTTCACAAAGTGCATGTTCAGTCCCCAAATTAAAGCTACTCTTGGAATCTCATGCGGTCTTATCCAGTGCTTCATTAAGTTACATCAGAGATAGTAATTGGACCAATCCACCATCAGTGAACTAGAATGCTTTCTCAAATTAATTTGTCACCACACAAGAAAGGGCTCACCTTCACTAGGCTAGAAAGTTAAGTGAGCTGAAATCCACAGGCCAGAGTTGCTTCTGAGTTATACCAACATAAACATTACCCTTTGTAAATAATGGAATTATTCTGGAAGGACATCAGTTAACAAAACAAAACGTAACTCAATACTAATGAACTTAAGACAGTAATAGTCCTTTTATTACAAAGCTATGGCTTCAAGAGCTAATGAAACAAAATAGCAGTTTCCAAATTGATTCAGTACTCACTTCTATAGCATAATGCAGAGACGAGGAGGCTGGATGCAGCGAAAGATTCTCAAGCGGCTTGATATAAGGTTTCTTCCATCCTGAAGCCAAGGACCATTCAATTATCAGCATATTGTCAGTGAACACAGTTCCAAATACCAAACCACTGGGGTCCGGTTTTTCCTTGAAAGTCGTAGCTGGGGTGATAATCAAGTCTGAAGCCTGAAGGAACATGAAGACAAAAATGAAGTTGTCCTGGTTTTGGCTGGAATAGAGTTAATTTCCCTCCTAGCAGCTGGCACAATGCTATGTTTTGGATTTAGTATGAGAACGTTGATAACACACTGGTGTTTTAGTTGTTGCTAAGTAGTGCTTACACAAGTCAAGGACTTTTTCAGCTTCCCATGCTCTGCCAGGTGCACAAGAAGCTGGGAGGGGGCACAGCTAAGCCAGCTGATCCAAACTGGCCAAAGAGCTATTCCACACCATAAGATGTCATGCTCGGTATACAAACTTGGGGAAGCTGGTCAGGGGGCTGCGATCACTGCTTGGGGACTGAATGGGTGTTGGTCGGCAGGTGGTGAGTGGTGGCATCACTTGTTTTTCCTGGATTTTGTTTCTCTCTCTCTCGTTTTCCTTTTCTTTACAATTTATTATTATTATAATTATTATATTTCAACTATTAAACTGTTCTTATCTCAACCCACAAGTTTTTCTTACTTTTGCTCTTCTGATTCTCTCCCCCATCCCGCTGGGGCAGGGGTGGTGAA